TCTTCTAGGGATTCTCGCTTCAGTTATCCAATCGAGTTGCCAATTTTTTTTTGTCGCTTAGAAGGGTGGACGAGCTCATAGCCCACCTGGTGTTAAGTGGTTACTGGAGCCCGTAGACATCTACAACGTAACTGCGCCACCCACCTTGAGATATAATTTCTAAGGTCTCAGTATAGTTACAACGGCTGCCCCATCCTTCAGACCGAAACCCATTACTGCTTTACGGCAAAAAAGGCGGGTGGTGGTACCTACCCGTTCGGACTCACAAGAGGTCCTACCACTAGTAATTACGCAAATTATAATTTTGCGGGTTTGATATTTTATTACACGATGATATTCCTTCACCGTGGAATCCTTTGCGCCACGTCGACTTCGTAAAATATCGTTGTTAAAATTTAAATGTTTTTTTTGGCATAGTACAATCAAAGTAAATACACATCTATGGCAAAGCAGCTCTGCGCATTTAAACTCCACTTTATCTGTAGGCTCGCAAAAAAAAAAAAAGAAGGGACTGAATACCAACTGACGAGCCCGCGAGTTAATTTAAAGAAAACTTGAATGACACGAAGAAAGTATCTAACAAAAAATTCCTGGTTTCACGTCAGAGGGTTTTTCGTGAGAATACTCTTTAAATATATTTATTTAGTAAGAAATAAGACTACGGAGACCACTTTTTTTTAAGCTCGTAACAAAGGGGAATGCGGCAGCGTTGCGTCGCACGCTACGTAACAGGGCGAGTAGGTGAGCTCACGGGGTTCTAACCTGAGCACGTTTCTAACACTAGCCCTAGCAAGAGCCGTGCTTCGCAGAATCTACCACAGGATCGGAAACGCGACCCACTGAGAAGATCCGGCGAGAAACTCAGTGGGCTGGACACCGCTTGCTCTAGTCACTCCCGCTACTCTTTTCATTACCCTGTCCGACGCTATTAAAATCTACTCCCAAAATAATGACGTAAGTCGTTATGTGTATATAGATCTCCCTATGTATGTATACTTCACATAACCCACCTGGTGTTAAGTGGTTACCGCAGCCCATAGACATCTATAACGCAAATGCACCACCCACCTTAAGACTTAAGTTCTAAGGTCTCAGTATAGTTACAACGGCTGCCCATTCTTCAAAACTAAACGCATTGCTGCTTCACGGCAGAAATAGGCGGGGTGGTGGTACCTGCCAGTGCAGACTCACATCCTACCTACCACCTACCACCAGTAAATATACTTATATATATTATATATACTTATATACTAGTATGTATACTTCATACAACCACAGTGTTGGTAGATTAACTTGCTATGTGACTTGTTTAGAAATTGGCGGAATTTAAGCTAACCAAATTGCACGAAGACGTGTTTTAGATGTACGGAGACATTGTTGGGATGTTTCCTACTTTTTAGCTGGTTAGCGGGCCCTATCACGAGGTGAATGCCATCGCCTTGATCCGTGAGATTGTAGACTCAATTATATTTGAGGAGCTTTACGACGAAAGGAAGATCTTCCACCGAGCGGGTGTAATTGCTCGGTGGATCGATCCGAATGTTGTTGTTCAGAGCTTGTATAATTTATTTATTTATTTATTTGGAAAACAAACAGTGCAATACAAACATATAATATTAAAAAAAATATAGCTAAAACAATAACCAAAAATGTTTCCACAATCAAAATCACATATAAGTAGACAGTGAACAAGAAGAGAAATTTAGAAATTTAAATTACAAAAAAACAAAAGCAACACAATACGCACATATTATTTTATACATCAACTATACTACTTATCGGGCTAAATCACCTTATAAAAGTTTTAAAATAGCTTTTCTATATGCTACAAGTGACAAGCAAAAGATGTCAGCATTAGAGAACTTAGCATCATTACAACCTACAAGATCTACGGACAAAAGAGTTAGAAGCATATTTCGTTCGAGCCGTGGACATGTGGAAAGTCTGTTTAGATCGCACGGAAATACGACTACATACTACATAATGTGCAAGCTTATCTGGAAAATGTCGTAAGCGAGATTCAGGCATCTGTCGAATATCTTGTGTTGTCTGGTGTAGTGGTAAGTGACATGGTCACTACACAAGGGGGTCGCGGGTTCGAATCCCGCCAAGGGAAGATATTTGTATGGTAAATATAAATGTCTTTTCCAGGGTTATGGATGTATATTAAATATATGTATGTGTATAATAAAAATCTTACATTTATTTCCGTTATCTGGTACCTGTAACACAAGTTCTTTACGAACTTAGCACGGGACCAGTTAACGTGGCGTGACTGTTAGTAAATATTTATTTATTTCTTTATTTATTTATCTGTCAAATATCTTGTGTTGTATGTTGGCTACCCGCCACAGTATTGTATAACAGTTGCTTAATCATCGGCGGTGGTTGTTCGAAGTAGAAAAACTAAATTTCCATCACGCTTACACAGCGAATGATTGATTCTCGACTGCGGTTAAGTGTTTCGTAACGAGCTCCTAAAGTATATTCCTTTCACGTGTCAGACATTTTTGTGGTGTATTTCTGTTTCGAGGATAGTTTTTGTTTTTTATTTGGATTCTTGAACTGTAATAATGGTTTGAAACGAAACAGTCCAGGAATTGTCGAACATAAAATTAAATAAAAATTAAATGAAAAAGTAATAGTGTATTTAGAGATTGCACCTTCCAAAATTCTATTTACTATATTTTGAGAATGAACAGTGTAACCATTACCAAATTTATTTAGATTTGTAAGCATGTTCAGATGTTCAAAGTAAAACGTAAAATAAGTTAACAGAAAAAATATCTTAAGCCTTTTTTTTTTATTTATACGTTGTTTACATATTCTTACGATAAGTTGAATTTGGTGAAATCAAGTATAAAAAATCGGTTGTCTGTAAAGTCGGTTTACTCACGATAGTTGAACGTGACAACGTCATAAGAAAATACAGATGGAATGGTTTCATTTTTCAAAAGAAAATTTTCAATATATTCGTTTGAAAGATATGTTGTATGGATATAGAGAAGGAGGTAAATGGAAATCATTATTGAATTGATCAAGTTATATTTATTTGTACGCATAAATACAATTCATCGCTCACTCAAGTGGGAGAGAGACAGATGTTGAACGGTGCCGAACGCAGAGGCCGATTGTCCATCTTTTTTGCTCGTTGCGTGCTCTCGATTTTTTTTTTTTTTTTTTTTTTATTGCTTAGATGGATGGACGAGCTCACAGCCCACCTGGTGTGAAGTGGTTACTGGAGCCCATAGACATCTACAACGTAAATGCGCCACCCACCTCGAGATATAAGTTCTAAGGTCTCAGTATAGTTACAACGGCTACCCCACCCTTCGAACCGAAACGCATTACTGCTTCACGGCGGAAATAGGCGGGGTGGTGGTACCTACCCGTGCGGACTTACAAGAGGTCCTACCACCAGTGATTACGCAAATTATAATTTTGCGGGTTTGGTTTTTATTACACGATGTTATTCCTTCATCGTGGAAGTCAATCGTGAACATTTGTTGAGTACGTATTTCATTAGAAAAATTGGTACCCGCCTGCGGGATTCGAACACCGGTGCATCGCTTCAACACGAATGCACCGGACGTCTTATCCTTTAGGCCACNAGTGATTACGCAAATTACAATTTTGCGGGTTTAGTTTTTATTACACGATGTTATTCCTTCACCGTGGAAGTCAATCGTGAACATTTGTTGAGTACGTATTTCAATAGAAAAATTGGTACCCGCCTGCGGGATTCGAACACCGGTGCATCGCTACATACGAATGCACCGGACGTCTTATCCTTTAGGCCACGACGACAACGACGACTAAAGCCTATTTTTTTATTTATACGTTACCTACTCTTACGATAGGTTGAATTTGGTGAAATCAAGTATAAAAAATCGGTTCTCTGTAAAGTCGGTTTACTAACGATAGTTGAACGTGACAACGTCATAAGAAAACACTGATGGAATGGTTTCATTTTTCAAAAGAAAATTTTCATTATATTTGTTTGAAAGATATTTTGTATGGATATAGAGAAAGAGGTAAATGGAAATCACTATTGAATTGATCAAGTTACATTTATTTGTACGCATAAATACAATTCATTGCTCACTCAAGTGGGAGAGAGACAGATGTCGAACGCTGCCGAACGCAGAGGCCGATTGTGCCTCTTTGTCGCTCGTTGCGCGCTCTCGCTTGCATTTCAAGCCTTAAATGGAACGCCTCAGAGCGAGATAACGCCGCATGAGTTATGTTTTTTCGTGCGTGCAGCCGGCTCCATCGAATTATAAGACGTTGTCACGTCAAAAATAGGAACTCATGGATTAATAAAAATCAAACACTTTTAAAGTTGCTGCTGTTAAAAAGACCAGCTGCTTGGTGTACTCGTATCGAACGATGAGACAATGCCGGTAAAAAAATCTCATGAAATACGTATTTGACTCATGTTCACGAATGATTTTCCCGGCTACCGTCCGAACCCGTCGCTTGCGACGAAGGGTTAATTAGCGGGACGAGTTAATTAGCCCATAGACACAGCCCACTGAGTTTCTCGCCGAATCTTCTCAGTGGGTCGCATTTCCGAACCGGTGGCAGATTCTGCGAAGCGCGGCTCTTCCTAGGGCCAGTGTTAGTAACACTCCCGCTTTGAACCCCGTGAGCTCACCTACATATCAAGAAGCTGAAATAGCCTCTTAAGGCTATCAGCATAGGTAAGGAAAAAAATGATTTTCACAATAAAGGAAAGCATCGGGTAATAAAAATTAGGCTCCGGTAACTACTTAATATCACGAGAATCACGGTTCTCATTCACCCGTCTACGTAATAGAAACTATACATAAAACTATAGTAACTATACTTGAGACGTTAGAACTTATACGAGTATCTCAAGGTGGGTGGCGCATTTACGTCGTACATGTCTATGGGCTTCTGTAACCACTTAACACTGAATGGGCTGTGAGATCGTCCACCCATCTAAGCAATAAAAAATAAATAAAAAATAAACTTACCATTTCCTCTCATTGGCTGCAATGTAGACACGAGCATGATTGGCGAGTTCAGGATCAATGACAGGATCCAGACCATGGCTATCATCTTGTATGCATGGCATTGTGTCTGCCATTTCCTGGACTTCAACGGGCGACAGATGGCGAAGTATCGTTCCAGGGAGATGGCGACTAATGTCCACACGTCCACAGACACGGAGACAGCTGCCGAAAGATGCGAGGATTTGTACAAAGTCTTGCAGGTTCGCAGTGGAAAAGCTTGTTTGTGCCTCATCTGTGTTCAATATTGGCATAGGTATATATTGGCATTTAATATAGCCTCTTTTTAAACTTATAGAGAACACACAATATATTCTCTTTCATGCACGGTCTTGGATGGTATGGACTTGTTTTGGAACGAAGTTCCTTATGGGACGATGCGGAGGGGTACCCTAACCGGGAAAAAACGTCCGTAACGTAAGATTTTATGTTTGTTACCTCATAATTTTTGACTAGGTGAATCGATTTTGATGACTCTTTTTTTATTAGAAAGCTGACGCTTTTCGAGTGGTCCCATTTCAATTTACTCCAGTTCTAATAATGGTATCCATGAGAAAACCATATAAGCCTTAAATTTTCATTAAGTACGTGCGCGACAAATAGATAAATAACTCAATAACTCAATATCACGGCAACCGATTTCGTTGATTATTGTTTTTAGTGTATATTAATTTGTTTTGGAATATCTTTTTTTTATCAATAAAAAAATCATAATAAAAAATGTATATCCGAATAATTATTTTCTTTATACCTCGAATAGAACTTAAAAAAAATTATATTTTTTATAATAAGGAACTTCGTTCCTATCCGGTGTCCCAACGACACCACACATATTTTTTTTAAGAGACATTCATGCGTTAACGACTTTTGTGAAATGAAGTAGTTTAAATACGTAAACGTAGGTACGTATGGTTATATCTCTCGTCTTACCTTGCAGAAAAGGTATCAGCTTACATAGGGCCGCCCCGAACAGAAACCTCCTATATATCTGTCCGACGAGCGTGAACGGCAAACAAAAGACTCCAAGTAAAAAGTCCGAAATGGCCTGCAACAAACAATGATTCAATTAAAATTTCTGCTTTTCTAAAGTTCTCGTTAGCGTTTCGTATTCATCGATTGGCTGTTTAGAAAATTATGATTCTGCCAAGGAATTTTTTTGTCAGGATAAAAAGGAATACGGCTTAGTCAGAGCTAATATTCATTTTTACTAGGTTACTCAAGGCTCAGAGGCAAAAATCTAATGTGCTTGCTGGTGGGACCAGATACGCTCCACTCTCAATACTTCAGTCCTCGTTGTTATCCACACAGCCAAGGATAGGTAGGAATGGCGCAGGATAATACAGGAGAAAGTTGTTAGAGGAGGCCATGACCCTCAGCATCGAGGATTATCGACGCAAGGAGGAGGAGGTTACTGAGACCAAAGTACCGAGTGTAGGTTCGTCTGCCCATTAATCTGTAGACTCCTTCTCTAGCTTCCCATTTGTACTATCTAGGCTTTTCGACAAAATTTTCTAACTTCCCCGCCTTAATTCTTGCATTCTTCAGGTCGGGAGTGGTGTGCACGTGTGTGTAGTCACGTGTGTGTAGACATACATGTTAGTCATTCTTGAAAATAAGCTGGGTATTTGAAACGAAAAACAATAGCAAACGCCAAGCTAACAATGTCGAACGGCGCTGAAATATACTTCGCAACCCGGCCGGTACTATCTTAGATTATATCGTTCTAATGTGTAACTTTCCATTTAATATTTCACACGCGCTTTGGGCTGTTTAGAATGTTACTATTGAGACATGAGCTCCAGCCTTCGTTTTCATAGTAGCATACAACGGCTGCCCCACCTTTCAAACCGAAATGCACTGCTTCACGGCAGAAATAGGCGGGGTGGTGGTACCTACCCGCGCAGACTTACAAGAGGTCCTACCACCAGTAATAAATCTGAGCAAAATTAAATTCAATCAGTTGCATTTTTATTTAAAGTATCTACTTAAATTTCTTTATTTCGGATTGATACATGGATGAATAAACTAGACTAGTAAGGATTTTTTGCTATTGCAGGCAGATGACCATACTGTCCATCTGATGGTGAGTGGTTACTGTTGCTCATGGACCTTAGCAATGCCAGGTGCAGAGCTAAGTCGCTGCGTACCCTTAAAGAATTTGCGTAAAATCTTTAAAATTCTTAGTGAACGTCTACCTACTTCCCAAAAATAATGTGAATGCCTATTTTTAGATGAATGCAAAGGATGGCTTAGGAGAACTTGTGTTCAGTGAATTGCATTTTGCTAATATAAAAAGGTAACAGTGACGAATAATGATTTTTAGATAGTGCTACGCGCTGGGGTTCGGGATAAATAAAATTTTCTACCGAAGTGTAAATTAAAACTGTATTAACACTTAGAACACTTAAAACACTTCACAAACACTTTAAAATTCTCAATTCACTTCTTCCGCTTCGCTTCAGGTGATTCGTTCGCTGTTTCGCTTCGAAGAGTTCCGATTACTAACTGACTGCATGCAATCTCAGCAACGCTTTTATGGTCGATACGACATCCCTAAAATTATCGAGAACATTCCTCACAAGTCGAGTATTTTCGATGTGTGTTTCCGCTATCTGACAATAGATGACATTGTACTTCTCGAGCGTTCTAGATGTTACTAGATTCTTTGATATTCGTTTCTGCTATTTGGCGATAGATGGCGTTACTCTTACCGGCCTAACATTAGTAATACAAAGGCCGAACAAATGTTTTACACGTATTTATTAAAAAAATTCTTTGAAAACTTCCAAAAACAAAACATTATTGAAATTACAATTACGAAATACTTCACAAACAATACCACGACGTTGTTTCTTGTTGTTCTTAGAGTAAAGTTTGCGCAATCTGCAATCATCTACATACATAATTATGTACCTGGATACTTTAAATTCTATAATCATAATAATATGAATACATGATTGCAAGTTAAAAAATACACTAAATGGCATTTATGGACTTATGCACTGTTTGCGTATTAAGTATAAATAAATAATAGCTAGTTAGTTATAAATACCAGGAAGAAATATAGCTGTTTTTTTTACCTAAGTACCGTTTCATTGTAAACAGTGATATTATATATGTACCTCCCTTACTATTATTATATGCTCTCACTTATAGGTTGGGACGGCCTTTAGAANAAAAAATACACTAAATGGCATTTATGGACTTATGCACTGTTTGCGTATTAAGTATAAATAAATAATAGCTAGTTAGTTATAAATACCAGGAAGAAATATAGCTGTTTTTTTTACCTAAGTACCGTTTCATTGTAAACAGTGATATTATATATGTACCTCCCTTACTATTATTATATGCTCTCACTTATAGGTTGGGACGGCCTTTATAAGACTGAATTGAAACTTCGATAGATCTTACGGAATGTGGTACCATCCATTGTCTATGGGCTCTGGCCACGACTGAACACCAGGTGGACCCCTCGATCATCCTCTTCGGCCAATGCTGCTCAATCGTGCTACTTAATCCATAAATTAGCCCGTTGAGTTTCCCGCCGGATCTTCTCAGCGGGTCGCGATTCCGAGCCGGTAGTAGATGCATTCGCGAAGCAGCTAGCTGCACTTGAGTTGTTAGTTCTTCTCCGGGGCACTCGGGCAGCTGTTAGCAAATCCCAACCCTTCTGGCTGAGCTTTTGCTCGCCTACTTGTACTGATAAAACTGGAAAGGACTTAGGGCCACCAGTAAAATTTCCTTCCTAAAAAAAGCCAGGTGCGCCGTGAGTTTGATCATACAATTAAAAATCGAAAAAAGCTTTAGGCACCCGTAAATTATTTACATACACACATAATACAATACTCTCTCTCGGTAAGTGCTTTGCCTCGAATGAGCGCTTTTCCGATGTTTTTCCGTTATTTATGTAAGGGCAGTTTGCATTATTTGAATAGCTCGGTTTTACGTATTTTCAAACATTCCGAATTTGGATTGAACTCTCTCTGTTAAATGAACATACATAATATGTAATTTATACAGAATTGATTAATCATCTGTTTTTGTAACTACAAAATATATTGTCTATTGTAACAGCGAATCATTACTCATGATGATGTAAAATAACTTAGATTGACAGTTTCCTTGACACTGATATCACGGTGACCACTCACAATTAAATGGTCACTAATTCCATACAATTGAGTCTACCACCACCAAGGTTGGTTCTCGGAACGTCCATCCATCTATGCAATAAAATAAAATAATAGATCATTTACGCTTGCGAAGACGGGAGACGTAATGGGTACATCCGCTACCACAAAAATCCACTATCTAACTGTATGCTATGCAAGGGCGGATCCAGCTTTGGCGCCAGGAGGGGGTCACATAGTCAAATTAAGATGCGTTCGTTCCCAAACGTTTGCCATTATACAAAGTTATTATATTATATTCAATTTATTAAATATTGAAGGCATGTAGTTACATAAAATCTGTATGGTGACAAAATATATAAATAAAATCATTATATTATTCAATTAGTGATCCACCTAAGTCCTGGAGCCAGCTCAGGGGGTGGTCGTGACCCCCATGACCCGCCCCTGGATCCGCCATTGATGTTATGTTAGTAGATGCTCTACGAGTATAGCATTAATTTCGTTCCAAAACTGTTGTATGTTCAATAAACACTTCTGTATACCTAGAATGGGCGGTGTAATCTATCGTCGATTTGATGTTAGTACATTATTCATGAACTATATTCGTTTATCGGAATACATTTCTCAGTCGGGCATGCTTGACAGAGCTGTCGTGATTAGGTAATGTATCTCTTATATCATTGGCCCCACGGTCTGCTCCCGACATCTGCAGAACGTTAACTCGTAACTCGTAAGAGGATTGACCCCTTAAAAAAAAATACTTCTCACTGTGTACCTACTCTTGCTATTTATTTTCTTGTATTTCTCTATTTCCCGGAATACAATTACGAAAAATCGTATGACAGGCTTAATGAGAGATAAAGCCGTTTTACTGGGAACATATCACGTGAACTCTTCGTCTTTGCCTAGTTAATGATTCACTGAATTGTGGTTTCGGGTAAAACGATCAGATTTACTATCCAATTATGAATCCTCGTGTTCGGATTCATAATTGGATAGTAAAAAACTTTGATGATGCTGAGTTATTTTAGGTACATTATGACAAAGACGACAACATTTCATATTCCTGAATTGGTGGAATCTTAAAAAAAATATATTTCGTAACTTTTGTATACATTTTTCGACGTGCTACGAACAAGAATTTTGAAGTGAAAACTTATTTAGAATCGTTGTGATTTCAAACCGGATGCAACGGAAAAAACGACAGGTAAGAGACACAAATACAAAAATGTGTAGGATGAAGCCAGCAAAGAATGAGACAGAAATATACATACTATTTAATACAGCGCCATCTGTGAGATTTTTTAATACTAACGTGTGTATGAAAGCTCTTGTAGTGAATTTTAATTNTTTAATACAGCGCCATCTGTGAGATTTTTTAATACTAACGTGTGTATGAAAGCTCTTGTAGTGAATTTTAATTTAGGATTATACGTGAAATTAAAATATCAATTCACAGAGGGCGCTACCTTACAATTATTTACTAATGACAAAATTTTACATATACTTAAGACGTTTAGGATAATTGTATTTTAATTTTGGAAAGTTTCCCTTCTACCACGTGTGAATTGCACACATTTTGTTTTATTTATTTATTTTACTTGATTGTAAACAGGATCGTTTAGGTTTGCTTAGAATGAAACACATTTAAAATTCCGTAAAGTTTGAGTATTATCAGAGAAAGCGAAAGTATAGAAATATAAAAAAAAAAGTTTTTGTATTTCAAACAGCAAGTTCAATTCAGTGTAAGTTATATCCACGAAACCATTGTATATCACCACATCTAAGTGTTCCCTTCCGCTTTCACAGTTTGAACCAAATATTCACGTATATCGCTCCTGGTTTCATCTATCTTTTTTTTATACATTTCATCGAGCTTTCTACATTCAGAAAGTTAATTAGCACAGCGTATCGAAGAAATCTATTTTCTATAGATAAATGTAGTGTATAGATAAAATCGAGACGGAATAGCTGCTGTCATTTGCAGACCTTCCAATTAATTAAAGCCGATATCAATACCAAAATGCCGCTGACACTATATTCAAGCGGAGAATTTCTGAATTTGAAGACCGGCTGTGTTAATGACTGTATTGTGTGTGACCTAGAATAGCAGCACCCCATTTCCGGATACCCAGGCGATGAGGGTAACGGGCCGGGTTATGTCGGACTCCAGCGCCTCCAGAGAGGAAGAGGGAGACGAGAAGGGCCAAGAGGAGGGCTAACAAATGGACCTTCACCTCCTCAATTCTTCGCAAGAGAAAAAGGCGCGAGAGGCACTTGCCCAGCAAAACCAACTACCGACTAAACCCCATCGAGCTTCATCACACCGGCTACATGAAACCTACGATACCGCAGTGCGCGCCGATAATAGCACACAATAAAACAGCACCTCATCTCCTCAAGTGGTTGCCATAAAAGACGACATAGGGATTCACCGGAGGTTGAACAGCAGTATCATTTGATTATTTAACAACATGCTACAATCGCGAAATATCATTTACTGATGGCAAGCTACGAGTATAGTGTAAGCCTGCACGCTTATTTCTATCATGTGTGGTCACGTGTCCCAGTTCGAAGGATGAGACAGCCATCATACAACACAATGAACCTCATGTCTCAAGGTAGGTGGCGGTATAACAGTTGTGATATCTATAGGCTCCGGTAACCAGAACACCAGTTGAACTGTGAGTTGGTTCACCCAAAAAAGCAATAAAAAATAATTAAAAGAGAATCTCAAAAACCTCAGGCAGTAACTTGCCCGGATCCTGGCTCCCTAAGCGTTTTTGGTGGTGGCTGACGATACTCCCCGGTTCTAATTTAGCAGGATATCAGGTATGAGTTTGCTGAAGCCATCTAGGCGGGCTTCAAATAATTTGCCCAGTGCCCACCGAGCGTCCAGAAGTTTCATCGAGTGGGGGTGGGTTCAAAGCGCTCTGTGCGAACGGCCTCTTTTTTCTCCTAGCTTGTCTAGAATAAGTTCTGCTTTATTCGAAGATCGGACGCGGAATGTTAAGCAACACGTGATTTTAGTCCGTTCAACTCCAACATGTCTCCTACCATCACCAACTTAGGTCCGGGAATTCACTACTGACTGACTGACTACTGAATGAGGTTATGTTACCTATCTGATTAGAACACGTGGTAGCTTCATGACAGAAATAGGTAGGATCATGGTCAAATCAAATCAAATCAAATCAAATCAAAATTTTTTTATTCAACATAAATGACAGTATATACTTGTTGAACGTCAAAAGAACTAACTACCTTACCCGTGCCAGATCATAATTCCAAGGCGGCCAAGTTATATGACATAGTACAGTCTCCGGCTCCTGGGAGCCCGTGATCTTGAACATTAAGTAATAATATATGGTATTATTTCGGTATCAATAAATTTCAATCAATTTCAGTTCTGTATTTAGATTAATTGTTCACATTTATGTTACCACGTATTTCACTTACAATACGTACACATAATTAAGTTGAATTCGGTTAAGCCACAAAACGTATTTACCCGTTCAAATAGCGACACAGATCAGTGTATGCTGATGACTATCACACAAATATCGCGAGGATCATCACATTCTCTCATCACATCACGTTCTTTTGGGAGTAAGTGTACTAAAAATATTGTCAAGAGAAAATATTTACTTGAAGACGATTCTTGATGGAACTTAATGCAATATGAATACTGACGCCGTTTTCACTTGATAATCATCAGTCCACGTGTTGGCGTTGGTCTGTTTGGTGTCGCCATATAATAGTCATAACGAAATTCACCGGCTACTTGACGAGGAGCTGGGTCTTTTTAGAATCTCAAAATGGTATGCACGTAAGTGGGTGCTTCCACACTGGCTTTTCCTGCTGAAGTATTTATGCCTTCTGGTTTGAAGGCTGTAAGCATTGTCGCCGTGATTCCTAAAAGCTCCTACAACTACTTAATATAGGTACGTCGTGAACTCCGTCACAGAATTAGTGCTATAAAAAAGCTTCGATACTTCATGTTCGTCAAGTGAACTTCTCGAAACATGAAAGGAATAATCTGACAAATATAAAATCAGTCTAAAAATGAAACGAATTAATTAAGGCTATATTATATCTAATTTACCAGGAAAGTTGAAAATTATAATTCGACGCTTGAAAGGCAAACGTGACTAAGCGACAATGCGCGAACTTTACAGTAGACTAATTTAAAGTTGAAATACCTGAAAAAATATATATTTTAAAGAATCTAGTTGTAGGATTGAAATGATTTTAATAGACCTAGAAATATTTTTTTATTTTTGCGCATCGATTATGGTTATTGCCTATCATTTATGTACAAAGCAGTTATTGTCGCTTAGTCACGTTTGCCTTCCAAGCGTCGATATGTATTTTTTTAACAGATTAAATTATTTTTTAAAGCTGTAAAATTAATTGCTCTGAATAGGACCTTTCACAAGCGATCGGGTGTTCATTGGTTTGCGGAGTCTATGAATGTCATAACGACGTAGCCACCACCACCCACCAACCCTGAAACGTGAGCAGCACTAAATCTCAATTGTATCTAGCTGTCCCCCTTTTCAAACCGGAACGCGTTACTGCCTCGCGGGAGAAATAAATAGGACCGTTCTCCCGGGGCGGTCTTACAAAACACAGAACAACTTTGTGTCGTGCTAATGTTGTTCCAATCTAAATTAGCTTATAATTTGTTTTATACTTACTTCGGTTTTCGCGAGTCGTTGTCATAATAATCTATATAATTATATAAAAATGAATTGCTGTTCGTTAGTCTCGCTAAAACTCGAGAACGGCTGGACCGATTTGGCTAATTTTGGTTTTGAATTACTTGTGGAAGTCCAGAGAAGGTTTAAAAGGTAGGTATATATGAAAATGCTCGGAATTAAATCAAAAATAACAATTTTGTTTGTACCTTGATGTGTCGCCCGTCGAACGGATTCCTTTTGTTTGTTTTAAGTTTATTTAATACAAAAGTTTAGGTCTCTTATTTATCGATTGAGACACTACGAAGTCTGCCGGGTCTGCTAGTTAAAAATAATTTTATGCTTTCATGTCGCGTTTTTAATTCCCATTATATCATTTCAGACATTTCGAATATTTTACGATTTTCATGGACACGGACAACAGTAAAAATGCGTTTATTTGTAGATTTTTAACGACCGTCTGGTGTAGTGGTAAGTGACATGGTCACTACACAAGGGGGTCGCGGGTTCGAATCCCGCCAAGGGAAGATATTTGTATGATAAATATAAAATGTCTTTTCCAGGGTTTTTGATGTATATTAAATATGTGTATATGTGTATAATAAAAATCTTACATTTATTTTGCGTTATCTGGTACCTGTAACGCAAGTTCTTTACGAACTTAGCACGGGACCAGTTAACATGGCGTGATTGTTAGTAAATCACTGCATAGTATAAAACAAAGTCGATTTCTCTGTCCCTATATCCCTATGTATGCTTAAATCTTTAAAACTACGCAACGGATTTTGATGCGGTTTTTTTAATAGATAGAGTGATTGAAGAGGAAGGTTTATATGTATAATAACATCCATTAAATAGTGGAGAAATCAATAATAAATTATAGTTTCCGAAGCGAAGCGAAGGCGGGTTGCTAGTAATATTATAAAATACTAGAGGTCCCGCAGTAGTCGAAATTCGACTATAAATAATTGGAATTGTAATTTTGTACACTATTATGATTGTATTTTATACTTCTATAATCACAAATTTCGCCAAGACTACACTACAAAAAATATTAACAAAAACAAACAATATTTAATCTATTCTCAATTTGACAACAGACGCCAAGAGCAAAAGTTTGACAATAAATAGTATGCATGCGTGTGTGCGTCAAATACATGGTATGTAGTGTGTGTAATGTTTTCTTTATTGATTTAATGTATCTTCTATGCATTATTTAAAAAAAATATTAGCATTGTGCACTTCTTCTCTATATTCTCTATAAGTGTGGAAAATTTCATACTCCTCCGTCCGCGCAATTTTCGTAAAAAGGGATACAAAGTTTTTGCTTCACGTATTAATATATAGATATTTAAATACAAAAAAAACTCACCAAATTAAGTAAATAAACGTTCGTGACTGTCCTCATTCGCCTGTTGCTCGCTAGAGTCGCTATGACGAGACAATTCCCGCATATGGAGAGCAGGAATATAACGAAATACGGCGGTAATATGAAACGCCACTCGTATGCGTTGTTAGGCTTCGCCACACTCGCATTCCGGATGGTCGTGAATGGAGCCAGGGTCGATGTGATCTCGCGCATTCTCAGCAACGAGCTGTTGTAGCTTATATCCGGGTCATTCATTTTTGTTCCTGTAACAAACAAAAAAACAAACTAAACTTAATAATTGTAGATGAGACTAAAATTGATTGGCTTAGGCTTAGCGAAAATTGACTGCGATGTTAACTGGTTACCTAAGTGGGCTGTTTTTTTTTCCAACCCATCTGTCAGTAGCCGCAAGGGGCTATTCTGGCTTCACCTTGACTGATAGGCGAGCTAAGGAACCACGGTGAAGGAATAACATCGCGTATTAAAGATCAGACCCGCAAAATTATAGTTTGCGTAATTACTAGTGGTAGGACCTTTTGTGAGTCCGCACGGGTAGATACCACCACCCCATCCATTTTTACCGTGAAGTAGTAATGCGTTTCGGTTTGAAGGGTGGGGCAGCCGTTGTAACTATACTGAGAGCTTAGATCTTATATCTCAAGGTGGGTGGCCCATTTACGTTGTGGATGTCTATGGGCTCCAGTAACCACTTAACACCAGGTGGGCTGTGAGCTCGTTCACCCATCTAAGCGATAAAAAAAGAAAAAAAACGGGTCTCATTCTGAGAAGGTTTGTTAACATCTCCCGTAGAATGAGCAGTGTTTCGCTGATTCTACCACCGAATCGTGATGGCGACCAACTGGGAAGATCCGACGAGAATCACACTGGGTTGTATTTACGGGATTGGATCGTCAGTTCCTTCGCTCATTTACGCAATAAATAAGAAGTAAAATAATACTTCGGTGCACCTTTTTTATTTTATTTATTTATTGCTTAGACGAGTGGATGAGCTCACGGCCCGGAGCCAATAGACATCTACAACGTAAATACCGCCATCCATCTTGCGATACGAGTTCTAAGGTCTCAGTATAGTTACAACGGCTGCCCCGCCCTTCAAACCGAAACGCATTACTGCTTCACGGCAGAAATAGGCAGGGTGGTGGTACCTACCTGTGCGGACTCACAAAAGGTCCTACCACCAGTAATGTGAATAATGATAACCTCGTTATGATAATAAATTTTATACGTTACATGGGTATTTCTCACCACATTAACTCAGAGCAGCTGTTCTCAGAAGGAAAGTTCTTAAAAAGGGAATACCTAAAACGGAAAGCTTTGTCACAGAAACATTTTCTCAAAGGATGTTTGTTTGTGTTTATCGAAATTGAAAATGTATTTAATTATATATTTGATAAGAGACGTTTCTTTGGAAATCAGTTCTAAGAATCGCCGTATACATTTAACCTTCTACTGAAGTTAATATTAGTCAGTAAGGAAGCCCGAAAATAAGGTCGATATATTTAATTATGTTGAACAAAATAGACACGGAATTGGACCGCCAATAGCAAAGCAATAACCATTGTATACACTCAATATTAAGATCGTGTCAGTACCAGTAGCATCCGAATACGCGAAGGATAAACAATATTAGATAATTAAGATCTAGACGAAACCTTATCGATTAAGAAGTGAGTCTACTGTATGACTTGTCTAGCTAACAATTTTTTTTTATTTTTTTTTGATTGTCGAAATTTTGTTTTTAAAACTTATCTTTTTTATTTTATTTATTTATTGCCCTTGCAGGCAGACGAGCATACGGCCCACCTGATGGTGAGTGGTTACCGTCGCCCATGGACTTCAGCAATGCCAGGGGCAGAGCCAAGCCGCTGCCTACCGCTTAATACTCTCCACAAGCCTCTTTTAAAGAAATTAAATAAGAAATCTAACCGTACGCAAGATTCGCCACAATTCTTTATAAATAATGCGAAAACCAACTTTAATAAGATCTGTTTATCCACAGAATTAATATAAAATACAAGTATCTAGATATTAAATATGTGAAGCAAAAACTTTGTAACCCTTTATACCTTTTTTGTACCCTTATAGTAGAATTTCGACTACTGCGGGACCACTAGTACAAGACAAACACACATAGGGACTTAGCAAACATGGTGCGAAAGTGACTAATGTGGCGGGGTTATTGGGATCTCGGTCTTTCTCAGAAACATTAGTTTCGGGAAATTAATGTTCTAACCAATCACAAGGTAGAATTAGTCGTGAAGCTATTATTTAAATATCGTATTTAATACTTCTTTGATATTATAATATGAAGTCGTGGTGGCCTAAAGGATAAGACGTCCGGTGCATTTGTATCGAGCGATGCACCAGTGTTCGAATCCCGCAGGCGGGTACCAATTTTTCTAATGAAATACGTACTCAACAAGTGTTCACGATTGACTTCCACGGTGAAGGAATAATATCGTGTAATAAAAATCAAACCCGATAAATTATAATTTGCGTAATTACTGGTGGTAGGATCTCTTGTGAGTCCGCACGGGTAGGTACCACCACCCCGCCTATTTCTACCGTGAAGCAGTAATGCGTTTCGGTTTGAAGGGTGGGGCAGCCGTTGTAACTATACTTGAGACCTTAGAACTTATATCTCAAAGGTGGGTGGCGCATTTACGTTGTGCATGTCTATGGGCTCAAGTAACCACTTAACACCAGGTGGGCTGTGAGCTCGTCCACCCATCTAAGCAATAAAAAAAAAACCAGGTGGGCTGTGAGCTCGTCTAACCCTCTAAGCAATAAAAAAAAAAGATCGATTACAATTATTTATACTACATAAATATACCGAGAATATTTTCGGCCTTTTGAAATTATTAAAATTTTATAAATATTACAAAGTTCGATAAAGTTTCTGATTGGTACACAATTTGATTTCTTTGATATTATAATATAATAATATCATCGATCACAATTTTATATACTACTAGCTAACTCGGTAGACTTCGTAGTGCCTCAATCAATAAATAAAATACCAAAACTTATGTATAAAATAAACTTAAAACAAACAAAAGGAATCCGTCCGACGGGGGATACATCAAAGGAAAAACGAAATTGTTATTTTTATTAAATTCCGAGCATTTTTATATTTTGCTACCTTTTAAGCTTTCTCTGGACTTCCACAAATAAATCAATACCAAAATTAACAAAATCGATCCAGCCGTTATTGAGTTTTAGCGAGACTAACGAACAGCAATTCATTTTATTTATACCTATATAGATATACTATATAATACCGAGAACATTTTCGGCCCTTTGAAATTATTAAAATTTTATAAATATTGCAAAGTTCGATAAATTTTCTGATTGGTATACAACTTGCTTTTTGCGGAAATTGAGCTTAACGTGCCAAGACTAGGCAAGATAAATGTATTTATCCACGTTACGGTCCGCGGTCTCACCACAATAGAAAATTAAATATATTGAGGGCAAACATAGCATTCTTACAGGACGCATATTTCACCATAGTGGCAGATTTACCCTGCTTTGTGTCCGAAATATTTAGGAATCTTATACCTACTCATAATATGGCAAAAATAAGGTTTATTTTATATATATTTTTAACATGTCCTTACGAACTTACTGTCATTAAAATTCTCTGAACTGATTAACACGATGGAAAATGTTGTTGTAAGTAAATACTCACTCGTAGATACGAAATTAATTTAAAAAAAAAAACATGTGTTTATTATTATTATTATTATCTTCTGAAATGAAAAAAAAGAATCATCGTTCTCCTGCCCTTCTCCCAGTCAGCTGGGGTCGGCGCAACGTGTTATCTCCGTCCATACTCATCTATCATATACCATTTCTTCGCTCACTCCCCTATTACACATATCGTCTTTCACGCAATCCATCCATTTTTTCTTAGGTATACCACTTCCTCTAAAAAAAGAAAAAAAGAATAAATATTGTAAATACCCAAGAAGGACGGGATCAAACCGAAACGCATTACTGCTTCACAGCAGAAATCGGCAGGTGATGGTACACGGACTCACAAGAGGTCCTACCACCAGTAATTACGCAAATTATAATTTTGCGGGTTTGATTTTTATTACACCATGTTATTACTTCACCGTGAAAGTCAATCGTGACCATTTAATTTTGTTGAGTACGTATTTCATTAAAAAAATTGGTACCCGCCTGCGGGATTCGAACACCAGTGCATCGCTCAACACGAATGCACCGGACGTCCTTATCCTTTAGCCCACGACGATATTATTATAATATATGTATGATATATTCCAATGGTCTTTCAAGTTCAGTATATTATATAAGCTTTTCACTTTTTTTATCCGGGTTGATAATCGAAAGGCTTCAGAGCAAGCTTAAGCAAGTGAAAATTCAAGCTCATGTCTCAAGGTGGACGGGACATTGTGGTGGTCAATGGATTTCGGTAGCCCCCTAATTCGAGTGATGAACACGATTGTTTTTTTATTCTTTTTTAGATATTTTTATTTATTTTATTTATTTATGACTTTATATACTAGACAGTATAAAGGCGGACATAATGCTATAGGCATTCTCTGACAGTCTACCTTAGGGGAGTGCAGAGATGAACCTTGGTAGATGTAGTTTATTGTGTTATTAGGTACTTAAACATATGTATATAATTATATATCATACATTTTTTTTATTGCTTAGATGGGTGGACGAGCTCACAGCCCACCTGATATTAAGTGGTTACTGGAGCCCATAGACATCTACAACGTAAATGCGCTACCCACTTTGAGATATATGTTCTAAGATCTCAGTATAGTTATAACGGCTGCCCCACCCTTCAAACCGAAACGCATTACTGCTTCACGGCAGAAATAGACGGGGCGGTGGTACCTACCCGTGCGGACTCACAAGAGGTCCTACCACCAGTAATTACGCAAATTATAATTTTGCGGGTTTGATTTTTATTACACGATGTTATTCCTTCACCGTGGAAGTCAATCGTGAACAATTGTTATGTACGTATTTCATTAGAAAAATTGGTACCCACCCGCCTGCGTGATTCGAACATCGGTGCATCGCTACACACGAATGCACCGGACGTCTTATCCTTTAGGCCATGACGACTTCCATAATATTTATAGGTACAAATACTCGTATTAATTATCTGTACATGTATATTTTTTAATGTACGTAAGTATATCTCAGTTTAGTCATATCACTAAGAAATTTACTTTGAGGTCAGACCG